AAGTTCACGTGGATAGAGGCAAAGCGAACTGCCAGTAATAGAGTTAGGTGGAGATCCATGGTTGACGCCCTATGCTCCCCTTTAGGAGCGAAGATGGCCAAATGTAGTGTAATGTAACCCTTCAAAGTGAAATGTATCCTGAGAGGTAGGTACAGCAGTGTACGGTAACGTAATTTATGGCGAGGAAAAATGCAATTGCTAATTGAGCTGCGGAACTCCAGGGGTCTCATTCATGCTTTCAGCAGAAGGGCAACTGGTTTTCACAGGCGGGCAAAAGTTTTTGAACTGAACTTCTTAATTTAAGAGAAAAACTTTCCTGGAGATGGTGAAACCAAGTGGGCAAAATCATCCTCATTGCCAGCCAATTTGCCTAATGCCCAGCCCTTAATGAAACCCCTGAAAACTCCCATGATATTGAAAGGACAAGTTCAAAAGTCATGCAAGCAGTGTCACTGTTTGATTGAGCTACTTTATCCACAAAAATCGAAACTCCCACAAGAACCACTCTGGTACACCATTCAGCTCTCTGTTAAGCTTTGTAATCAGTATCGAATAATTTGTTTGGGTCCGTCCTAGCACATTATCACAGGTACTAGAGGAAGATGGACTCAGCCCATGAAGAACAAAGATGCTACATGTACATTGTATATCATACAAAAACAAGTTGGCTATATAATCGTGTCATATCCAGGCAAGCAGGAGTGGAATAATTGTCTGTTTAAAAATGCCCACAAAATATAGAAAACTAAAATAAGATAAAAAAAACGCCCCCAAAATTACCTGCATTCTAAACCATGTTTGCAAAGCATGGTATAATAACTCATAACCCATGATGGCTAAGCCAATGAAAACTCTCAAATTGCATTATCCAATGACCCAGTTTTTAACAAATTAAATTATAATAAATCAAAATATATATATTTGTGCGTAACAATAAATTGCAATTATGTACTACACACCTTGAATAAGCCTGCCTTTCATGCTACTGCTGCTGTTGACGTTTTTCACATGAGAACCTTTCAAAAGTTGATTAGTTAAGGGTTGCGTGTGACTAAGACATTGAAGGATGGAGTTCATAAAACACTGCAAAGAAAAGCAAATTATCAGGAATCAGTCAGAGTTATCTTGACCGGATCAGAGGTCCTGAGCACTCATTAAGATAACTTGCATCATAGTTTGAATTTTTTTCCTGATTTTTCATGGCTTGTACATGTAAATAAAAATACTTTTTCATGGGTGGTACAGTGGGCTAATGGTTAGTGAACTGCACTCTGGTTGGAGGAGTCTGGGGTCATTGTGTTGTGTTCTTCAGCAAGAAAATTACTCTCACAAATTTTCCACCCACATGTATAAATGGGACCCAGCTCAACGTTACAGCAACGTTACAGGATGCTTTGGCAGTAAGAGTCCCATTGAGCTGACTGCAGACTTTGGCTTAATTATAATAATTTCCATTGGCTAACATATGACTGTGACTGAATGAAGAAGATTTCTATAGAGCAACTTCAGCATTAAATCCCTCAAGCACCTGATTTTTTTCTTTAAAACCTTAGTTTGCAAATAAAACTGGTGTCCTACATTTATCATATCAGGAAAAATTTAGACAATTCTCTTTACAAGAATCTTGAGAGTCTTCCAGCGACATGTTCAGTAATAGAATACTTAAGTTAGTCAATCCACAGGCCCACATCAGGGCTGTCATTAAGTCCCCTGTAGCCTTGATCTTCACACATGTAACAAACTTGTTACCTTTTGAGTAAATTGTATCAACTATAGGCCAGTTCACCAGTAACATCAAGGTTCCATCAAACTTACTCAACCATAGCAGGTGTTAGGTTTACAGCCCTTGTTGACAGCCCTGCACATTAAATTTATCACGGCGACAGTAGCTTCGGCTCAATACAAGGATAAAGGTGTTTCAATTCAGTCATCTTTGACTGCCTATTAGTTAATACCAAAGAAGCAAGTAAAAGAACTTACTGTATTTCCTAAATTACGGAGACCAACTAAGCCATCAGAGCTGCTTCTACCAGTAGGCTAAAAAAAAAAAAAACAAGAGGAGAAACTACTGATTGACTAACTTATTACGACAATACATTTACAAGAAATAACTTACTGTGATATAATATTTATTGCTATTGTTTGAAGGATGAAAGAATTTCACCATATACCATAATACCACTAACAAAATATTGTTTTGAAAGAGTAACAGAACTCGCACAAATGTGACAGCGTACCCGTCTACTCCTTGAGTGTAAGTTCCGTTTAGCCAACAAAATCCATAGAAGGCAGAAATAGACTCCCAATGTGATAAGATATCCACCTTCAAAAGCCACTGTTTACAAGTATCTCAGCTAAAGCTTGATACGTAAGCATTCCCACAACTTAACAAAATGCTGTCCATAACACCAAATATACAACATGACTGCACACGTAGGTCCTCACTGTTTTTCACCAAATTACGAGTAAATGATTTTGCTCTTCAATTAGTATTTGAAAACCTGCCTTTACCTAAAACTGTACAATACAATTTATCTATAGTGCAGACCAAATTTTACACTTAGCAATTTACGTATATGAACCCCTGGTTCATTTCATTAAATAATCTATTTTTGACTATAGTACCTGTTACTGAAAATTGGCAAAAGTCCATTGAAAATTAATTATTTTTGGAAGTTTATTCAATGAGGAACAAAATAATTTTTTGCATGTATAAGACAGTATAAAAACTGGATATTTAGTTCTATCAAATTCAATTAAAATAAGAATTTTAGTGATATTTTTCTCAACAA